TTGCTTGGAATGCCTTCAGGGCAGGTTTGGCTGGCTTGAGTTGTGGGGACTGAACCACAGCAACCTGAGCCTGACTGCTTTGTTGAAGCAGCCACTTAAGGAACTGAGCTAAGGGGCAGGCCCCCAAAGTATTTGATTTTTATAAGAAAAGTAATTTTTATTGCTACCAGGTAGAGATGAAGGCAATTGTACGTTTACTAATTTTATAAAAGTCACTTGGTTTGCCTGTTGATTATATTTTAATGGATATGGAAGGTAAAGATTTTTTTGCTTGTATTTAGGACCACTGAAACTTTGAGAAATGATAATCTTAATGGTTTCTGTACTGCATCTCTACTGTGTTGATCTCTGACAGAACAAAAGACAATTGTTTTAGCTCATTGGTTTCAGGGGGAGAGTGAAAATCAATTTTCTCTGAGGAGACAATAACTCTTAAATTGTTTTTGTTGGTGGTGGTGGTTTGTTTTCTGTATTTTAGGGAAGGGTCTACAATAGGATGTTCAGGGTCTCACTACTAGATCTGATCCATAGTGATCTGCCTGTTTACAGCCTCCCAAGAGCTAGGATTGCAGGGTGTGCCACCACATGCATTCCCAGGACACCCACCAGGGGTGAGGCCTGCTTGGCAGGCCTGGGGATGGAACCCTGGCCCCTGTGCCTGCTTGCAGGCGCTTTAATCCACTGAGCTATTTGGCCGGCCCAATAACTCTTAAATTGACCTAGATGTTTGGGAAAGATAGAAATAGTGATAACAGTATTTTATTCTTTTGGAATGGAAGAAAATGATGGAAGGGATATGGAACGTAGTATACAAAGCTTGTATTGTATTCTTAGGCAATTCAGGGGACTGCTGTGATTTTTTTTCCTTTTAATATAAGGAAAAAAATGAGGTGGGCAATACGTTGATAAAACTTGAAAGAACCTGGAACCAGTGCTTAGTGTTCATAAGGTCTCTTTGTTCTCTGTAATTGGAAAATCTTAACAGTTCAGAAATGTTCCTGTGTGGCTTCTTTTATGAAAGACGGTAAATATTTTAGGAGGTAACTTACTTTGTTTTAGGACTTAGGAAGTACTTATTTATGCACTAATATCTATGAACCAATTCGAGTGAGTTTGGTTTTCTGTCTTTGGATGCCACTGGAAAGGAAACTGAACTTGAGACAGTTTTGTGGTTAGCAGTGTTTTGGTAGAAAAGAGCAGATCCGTCTGCTCCTCTTTATACACCAGTCCCCGTCCTAGGTATAGCCCCCTCTATCTCTTCCCCACTTGTGGACTGTGAGTCCTTTACTTGATTCCTCAGTAACATTTAGTACTCTTGACAGTTTTTCCTTTTTGAAATTATTGCCATGAATGTCATGACACTGCCTGGCTTCCTCCTATTTGTGATCTTGTGTGCTATGCAAATGTTTGCTCTCTACAGCTAGTAAGTAATGGAGTTGCATAGGGTTATTAACTCTCCTTGCTCTGTACTTGCTAATCTCCAGTCCCAGGGCTTTAACTAACATTCTGTGTGTGTTACTTTTAGAGCACCCTCTCTGTGTGTCTGTCTGTCTGTCTCTGTCTCTCTGTGTGTGTGTCTCTCTCCCTCTCCCTCTCTCCCTTTCTCCCTCTCCCTGTCTCCCTCTCTCCTCCCTCTCTCTCCCTTTCTTTCCCTCTCCCTCTCTCCCTCTCTCCGTCTCCCTCTCTCCTTCTCTCTCTCCCTCTTTCTTTCCCTCTCCCTCTCTCCCTCTCCCTCTCTCCTTCTCTCTTCTTCTCTCCCTCTCCCTCTCCCTCTCCTTCTCTCTCTCCCTCTCTCCTCCTCTCCTTCTTCTCTCTCTCTCCCTTTCTCTCCCTCTCCCTCTCCCTCTGTCCCTCTCCTTTTGAGACCTGTATTCATTCAGCTCACAAACTTGAATGTCTTTCTTAGTTTTCTCCTTCTCCCTCAGTTACAAAATCTTAACATTTTAAAATCGATGCTATTTCTAGAATTTGTCCCCTTTTTTTATCTCTTTATCATGGGCCACACTAGGATTTCTCTCTTAGATTATTGAAACAGCCACCTAACTGATCTTGTAGTTTGACTCAGTGTAATACCTTATTTACAGGGCAGTTGTGTTTTGTTTTGTTTTTTCTGCTCACAGTTCCTTAGTGATCCCTGATTGTCCTTTGAACTTTAACTGCTTAGGGTGAAAAATAATAAAACCAGTGAATTCTGGGCTAAACATTCTCTCAGGGGGTTCCCAAACAACCGAAGGGCTAAGTATTGCTCTCACTTAGCACTGATTTAGAAAAGCTAACTCATGTTTAGAGTTTCCATAGCTGGTGAGAGGCCAGCATACTTTAAACGGAGGCCAAAGTACTTTCTTTCCCTTAAGCACTGAGCTGTAGCTCTGCCTAAAC